CTGTTAAGATTTACATTGTTATTTCATAATTTTTTGGCGATTTTTGGTTGAACACAAATGAATGAGTCAAGGCAAGTTTCTTTAATCATATTAGAATTGGAGGAGTTAAAAAAGAACTAGGTGGATTTTATGGGGCTCATTCCCAAGGCATTTAATATTTGAATTTAACAGTCGTGTGCAATTGTGCATGTTAGTGCCAATTCCAGAAATATGTAGGTTGAAACTTTAGAATCACCGCAATATAGTAAATACCTCATTGGCTTTTCTGAAGGAGAAGTTTTGGTGCCCGTTAGAATAGCACTTCCTTTCGAAAATTTTGCGCACCCTATAGGAGCTATTTTCATCATTAAATTTCATCATGGTAGTTAGACATTGGCACCATCAACTTTGCATCTGATATTTCGGCAATTCAACTTGTTTCCTCTACAAATACTTCCTCTAAACACAGCCATCCATTCAATAACAAGTAAATTTAACATATTGTTTGCTGTATTGCTCAGTCAGTTACTTGCTTGCTTCCTCTGACAGCTTTCCTCTCTCCAAATATGAATAAGTTAATGACAAGATGCTTTGCATCAGACCAGCATACTGGTAAAGTTGGTGCCACATCATTTATTCTTTCCCCCTTCCCTCCCTTGGTCATCTACCCTTGTCAATCAGGATATTCAAATGTAAGGCCTTCACCCAAAAGTTCCTGATGCCTGCAGGCAGAGGTATGCCATCTGGCATCCAGTCCATTGGGGGTGTTGGCAGGTCACTCTCTCTATTCTCTACAAAAAATCTGTTAAATTCATAGGTTGCTTTGAGGGTACATGTTATTCAATTAAAGGAAGATGGTAGAAGATTTTGTTTGAGAGAAGGCTTTGCTTATTTGCTTGGAAGGTTAATAGCTGAATCTGGTGTGGTGTTTAAGAACAGCAGAATACCCTTCTCTTTTACTTTCAATATCTATCACTCTTTTTGTTATTTTTTACCATGTTTAGCACTTAGGGTATCAGAGCTGTGATCAATCATCTTGTTTTTGATAATTTCTAGAAGCTGGTTGATTTTTTATTTTTTTTATAATGGTAACTGAGAAGCTGGTTGATTTTTGGCCCTTTATTTCCAACCAAACAAATCATGCTGCCTATTTGCAATTTGCTCACAGCGGATTTGCTTTGCAGCGAGTTCTCTCGACATTATTGTTAATTTAGACCATACACCATTCGCTTTTTATTCCTGTATTAGCTGCCTCATATAAATCTGGCAGGCCTTGTACGATAAAGATATCCACTTGTTATGTTTGAGTACTTCTGCCAAGAATCTTTGTGCTATGAAGTTGATGTTGTTCTCTATTTCTTTGGGACTCATGGGAAGAACGTTTTACTTCCAACAGGTTTTGCGAGGTTTAAGGAGATTGAAAGGTACCTCAAACAATAACAAGGGCAAAATGTCTGTAGAAACTAAGCAGCTGTTTGATCAGCTAACAGAAGATGCTATGAAGCTGATGGAGAATGGAGATTACAGTTAAGTGTGTTTGCATAATAACTGTATTGCAAGGTAATAGTTGAATAGAATACCAAGGACGGTTCTAATCTGTTAGTCTATTTCTTGTTTCACAGATGTGTATGAAGAAAAGCAAGAGAGTTTCCAGCGGGAAGCAGGTACTTGTCATTGTGTTATTCCCTCTTTTCTCTGACATTATATCCACCATGACCATAACTCAAGGAAGTGGAAAATATATGATGGCAGTCTTGTCTTTTCCCTAACCAAACTGGTTAAGGCTCCCCCCGCTTTTTTTTTTTTTTTTTGGGGGGGGGGGGGGGAATGTGGACACAGAAAAACAGGAAGTAGTAGATTTTTCCCCTGGTTACTGGCTTCGCTTTTATCTACTATAAGGATGATATTGGTGACTCAAGTTTTATGCTAGGGTTCTGAAGTAAAGAACAATTAATCTTTCACTTGCATGCGCTGACATTTCTCTTGAGCTGCATGAGTGAGGGTATTATCTTATTTGCATTTTGTATTGATCCAGAGGGATATGAGAAGTTAGCTCAGGCAAGACAGGGTAAATCCAGTGAATCGATGCAGCCTAAGCCCGATAGTATCCTCGATGAAGGTTTCCTCCCCAGTGGGTCAACTGCTACTGCAGGAGGACATTCTATGCATAATGCAGACATGTCTTCATCAAATTCATACAACTCAGCTAGCAAGAACGATGATGCACTTGACATGTTTGGTGAAGACGATGAAAATATTCCAGCTAATCCTGCCTCTAATGGAGGTAATTTGATCTCTAAACACGTCTAGAATTGACATTATTGACAAATTTAGTCCATTATTCTATGTGAGAGGAGATTACAAGTTTTTTTTTTAGCATATTTCCCCTTTCCACATACGTGACTCCCGCTCAATGTTAACTGTAGGTGATCAGCATGGCGATTATGTCTTCGATGAGTCCTCTGGGTATGTTTTCTACCTTTTAGCTCATTACACTACTTTTCTCCTTCTGCTCATAGTGTGCAGACATCCTAGTAATAAGAAATCAAACCGTGTCATTTTGAAATTCCGCTGATCAACTGGGAGCAGGTTATTGTAGGGTTCTTCCTTGTTCAATCAAAGAATTACTCAACGTTGTAATTCTAATGGAAGAGGATCCAATGAAATTTATTTGAACATAGTTCTTTCGGAGTTTTCCGTTCCAATTTATACTCTTTCAACATTCCTTTCAAGCTAATATTGACAGAAGTGTTTCTGTCGGGTTGCCATTTCATATGTCAGTTTCCGCCGACATACTCATTTTGGAAGTTCATGGTAGTATGCTAGTTCCTTTACATGATATGATATCCATCTTTGTTTTAGCAGTAGCAGGGACTACCAAATAACTATTGGTTTCCTGCTTGTCTAATCTTTCTACATTGACTTGATAAGAGCAGATATGGGATGTCAAGAGTGATATGAAAGGTTCATATGTTCTATCTGTCTAGGATCTTCAATTCCATTGTTTAAGGAACTGCGCCTCCAAAGTTGGAATCTGTCATTTATGTCATGGTGCATTTCTTTTTGTATTATTGTCTCAAACTTAACTTACTCTTTTTTGTATTTTTCGTTGATCAGTTATTACTACAGCAGCAGTTTGGGCTACTATTATGATCCATCATCTGGACTGTATTGCCATGCTTCATCAGGACAATGGTAATGACACTCAACTGTTTTAACTGACAGAAAGTCTGGATATTGATCTACCTATTTTCGGTTGGTTACTCGCAATTTGTGTAGACCCGATAGTAGTAAGTGTGATTTGAACTGTCGAAAATAGCATTTTTGTTAACTGTTTTCTTTGATGTATCAAATGTAGGTACTCATATAATGATGAATCGGGCATATACCAAGAGGTGCCACAAGCTACATCTGATGCCAATTGAAAGGGACCGAGTTCTTATACAGGAGGAGTTATGGTCCTGGTGGTAGTTTTCTTTGACAGAGGTCGTCAGCTTTGCTGCATTTGTCAAACTTACTGAATCTCAACCTTCGGAAACACAGCGTATTTGAGAAATGCTTTTTGCACTCTGCCCAGTGCTCACTGCAAACATTATGGTTGCGATGATATATTTCTGTTTGCGTACAAGCAGGTGTACAGTGAATTCATAGCACGTTGAGAAGACAAAACTTGTTTCTTGTATCTTGTGGTGACAGACAATCTCATCGGTTTCTTGTTCTTGTAACTGCAAAATGCTGCTAGTTTTCAGTGCCTCTCGAACTGTAAAATTGTTGTCTAGTTTGTTTCTTCAGTTCTATTTGTGATATGACTGGAAAGAAAAGGCAGCGTGGTGCACTAAAGCTTCTGCTGCCGAACTACAAGGGTCTATTGTACGTATCCTTACAAAATCTCTGCAAGAGGTTGTTTCCATGGTTTGAACTCTTGCCCTCTTGGTCACATGACAACTTTACCAGAAAGTACTTTTGAGCTAGTGCACAAACAACGCTGAAATTTTGAAGTCAGAAACATAATAGTGTTAACCTTTTTCGAATAGTTAATAAGTATTTTAAACCATTTTTCCTTTCTAAAATTGAAAAGAAACAAAGGATTCGTGTAAGTTGTTCTTTGATAAACATGTAATACTTGATGATTATTTTTTGTAATTATGAAAATTACCCAGTGTTGACAATAACACTCAAACAATTCAACTTAAGTGGCCTACCCTACTTTTTAGTAGTTTTATTTAATTCTTCCCAAATTTTTGATTTTACTAGTTCACCAGATGAAAAGTGATTAATCATTGGTCGATTGAATATTTTTGTCTCAATAAGAGCAATATTATGATACACCGATAAATAAGTATTCTATAAGATTAGTTATCACATATAAAAAGTACGATAACATATCTTGTCTATATATAAATAATGAGATAAAGTAATTCTACAATTAATTAATTACTTACAACCAAGCATAAAACAAAATATTATATTTTCCGTTTCAATTTATTTATCATACTTTCCTTTTTTGTTTGTTTAAAAAGAAAATGTCTCTTTCTCCTTTTAGCAACTTTTTAATTTCTATTTTTCATGACAACCTTTAATTTAAGACAATAAAATTCAAAAATCTACTTTACTTTCTTAAACTTCATACCAAATCAAAATAAAATAAAGAAAATATCATATTTTATACGAAAATTATAATCCTTATCCTGCCAACCGACCCCACAATTCTAAAGGTGGATTATTCCATATCCAACAACTCTTGAATTTAACACAAAAATATTGAGCAACCGGTAAAAAACAAAATAATTTAACTGACACGTGTCAGTTTCATCCTACGTGGACCAAATCAGATTAAAGAAACAGATCATATCTCAACCTTTTTTTCTCGTCCACAAATTTTGAATCTCCCCTTTCCCCACACCCCCTTAAAGCTTTGTCCACCACAAATTAGATCACACTGCCACGTGTCATCCATTCCTTACACTTCCTTTTATATATATTTAAAAAAATTCACTAACTTATTCAATTCAAATAATTTATTTAATGCTTTTCATTTTCAAAGCAAATACAGAAGTCTCTGAGATTTGTATCAAATTAGGGTTGTATAGCTCAACTTCATTATCCGGCGAAGCGAATTCGTTACTTTCCGGCGAGGTACTGTTTTGTTTCAGAGAGTTTTTGCGGTGAGATCTCATATTTAATTTGTGTACACTTTTTTTTGGTTAGTTTGATTGTGTTTTGTTGTATATTGATTTGTGAATTTGAGGAGGAGTGGTTTTAGCTTATGAATTTGATTTTGTTTGCTGAAAATGAAAAAAAAAACGGAATAACTTTGGAAATTTGATGTTTACTTAAGGCGAGAAAGAGTTTTCAGCTTATGAACTGATTTTGTTTGTTAAAAATGAAAGAAAATAATTGACTCTGGAAATTGATTTTTACTTAAGGAGAAGAGTTTCCAGCTTATGAACTGATTTTGTTTGTTGAAAATGAAAGACAACAAATAACTTTGGAAATCGATTTATAGTAAATAGTTATTTGATTATTCTTCTTCTTCTTTATTGTTTTATTGCTGTATGAATTTAAGGAGGACTGTTTTCAGCTAATGAACTGAGTTTTTTTTTTTTTTTGCTGTAAAATGAAAAAAAAAAACGAATAGCTTTGGGAATTGATGAACTGATTTTGTTTGCTGAAAATGAAAGAAACGAATAACTTTGGAAATTGATTTTTAGTTAAGGAGAAGAATTTCCAGCTTATGAACTGATTTTGTTTGCTAAAAATGAAAGAAAACAAATAACTTTGGAAATTGATGTTTACATATGGAGAAGAGTTTTCAGCTTGTGAACTGATTTTGTTTGTTAAAAATGAAAGAAAACAAGTAACTTTGGAAATTGATTTTTAGTAAATATTTTATTTGGTTCTTCTTGTTCTTCTTTATTGTTTTATTGCTGTATGAATTTAAGGAGAAGAGTTAGCTTATGAACTGATTTTGTTGGCTGAAAATGATGTAAAAGAAATTCCTTGAAGGTTGATTTTTACTATTTTCAAGCTGATTATATGACTTTGCTAAGATTGATTTACTATTTTCAATTAGTTGAGTCTTTGTAAACTGCCTATTTATTCATTTTTGCTTGTTATTATTCACTGTTGTACTGTTGCATGAACATTATGGATATAAGCTTGTGAGCTGACATATCTCTTTAGTTCTCTTACTATAGTCATTTCATTTTTTCTTATTAATGTGCATTGTACTTGCTTCATCTCTCTCTCTCTCTCTCTCTCTCACACACACACACACACACACACGTGTGCTTTTGTTTGTTTTTTTAGAATATATTTGTCAAATACATTGATCTTAGCTTCTTCCTTTGCTATTACTACTCATACCCTTAAAGAGCAGACTTTTCGTATCTCTTAACAGTGGAAATAATCTACCTTAATTCAAACTATGATAATTTCAATTTAAAGAAATAAATGCTGTGTTCTACTTTTGATTTACTCATTTTAAGGAAGCATCCTCTGCAGTTATTACAGCTAAAATTCTGGAACTGGTGCTACAGCTTGAAGATATAGCTTTGGATGAAGTTTGCCTTAGCTATGATCATATAGTCCCACATCCTAGTTGTGAACATGCCAATGAGTTTCTCTCCCGGATTGATAACTGTAAGAAACCCTAGTATGAAGTAATTGGTTTGTTAAGAACCATAGGAGGTCAATCTACTCTTAAATATAATAATCAGCAGAAGGGCAAAGAAGTTCCTCCTTTGAACAAGGACAATGTTGGAGAAGGACTCAAGGGATGATAGGCTTGATTGCGTGTTCCCTTCTAAACATGATAAGGACTCTGTTGAAGAAGTTTCAAGTTTATCATCTGAGAATACTAGGACATCAAATGATTGCTCCAGAAGTAACAATGTTGACTCCATTAGCAGTGAGGTTTATCCCAATGACCCCACTCTGGATGACAAGAATGCTGCAGTTAGGGAAAACTTGCATAGCTATCCTCTTGGTCCCGTTTCTCAGGCAGATGATGATCTCGGTTTTTTTAATAGTAATCATGAGGATAAAAACACTACCGAGCTCTTATATTATAACTGGCCTGAGATGGAAAATTTTGAAGATCTTGACAGGATGTTCAGGTAATTGTTGTCTCTAGAGTTTTTCATATGATTTTCTTTTATTATTCAAAGGAGACTAACCTAATACTTTATGATTTCTCACTGTTTATAATATCTTCCAGAAGTTGTGATTCAACGTTTGGACTTGGAGCTAGTATTGAAGATGACCTTGGTTGGTTTTCGTCATCTGATGTTATTGAAGGATCTGGAGGTGGATTGAGGTCAGATTTTGAGTTTCCCTTCTCAACATCCAGTGCACTTGAAAATATCTCTGGAATGCAGGAAGCTTCCAGGCCAAAGGAAACAGACAGTTCAATTAATGATTCTGGCGCTAAAGATCAACCCTTTAGTCAGACTGGCAGTTCAATGCCATCAGAGGATGAATCAGCCGTTCCGAGTCATCTATCTTTTGCAAATGGCTCAAGTGATTCAGATTTCAAGATAGTGCCCAAAAAGAAGGTAAATTATTAATTTGGTGTACATCGGACCTTTTGTTTAGCCTTTTATTCCGCCTCAGCTTAACCTTTAAGGTGTTCTATTTGAAGAATGTTGAATTCAATGATGGAATTAGGTTGAGATTGTGTCTAACATTCACACATGAACTAGTGATAGAGTGTTACTAGTGTTTAGTTAACGGTGAAGTGTGTGTTCATCTCATTTAAAAGGTTAAGTTGTTAGAGAGAGCACACTTTTATTTACTTAATTATGTCTCCAACACACCCCTTCACATGTGGGCTTGATTCTTTTTCATGGGCCAAACATATGGAGATTCTTTTTTGTTAATGGGTGGCAATGAATTCCGAACCCAAGACATGTGGCTGCTTTAATACTGTGTTGATTATGTCATCATCTCATCTAAATGTTAGATATAAACACTATTATTACTTAATTATATCTTACATAAGCACTCTTTCTTTTCCAAAATCTTGTCTTAAGCAAAGACGGACATATGTTCATTGATGAGGTTCACTGTCACCGGCAACAATGGTTGACTCTATTTTTATGCATAAAACTTCTCAAGAAACTAATATATAAACGACGTGTCTCTCCTCTTCTAAGGGGACAACTGGGTGCACTGTTTCAGCTAAAGTATTCTGATAATGAACACAGTTGAAGCAAAATTCTTCATTTCTTCCTCACCTCAGTTGTGGGACCTTCCCGTTTCTCCTGTTCTCTTTTCCTTTAGTTTCTTTTTTTGTTTCTGATTCTTCATTGGTTTTTACTCCTCAAAAACAAATCTTTACAGCAAAATTAGGAAAGGATGAGTAGGTGAGCAATGTATAGCACTCTTTTCTATTTTTATTTTTTTGGGAAATGTTAACAATTTAATATATCAGTGCACAAAAATTGTGCCAACAACCATAATTTCAAACATGACAACCTGATCAAATACTATCCTATACACTTACAGATATTCTAAAATCTCTAAGATAGATTCAGTAGCCAGTGTGAATCTTTTTTTACACAAGACAATGAAATAACAAAAGTGAATTTATCTTGATCTTCTGAATTGGACTACCGTTGCTTTCAAAAACTCTCTGATTCCTTTCCCTCCAGACAGACCACCATATGCAAGGTGGTATCCTTTTCCATCTCCTTTCTGCCTGGGTATAAGATGACTCCTCTGTTCCGACATCGTACTCTGTTTTTTCCCCTACTCTCTTTTCCTCCCTCCCCCCCCCCCCCCCCCCCCCCCCCCCCCC